ATAATAATAATAATAATAATAATAATAATAATAATAATAATAATAACAGAAAGAAAACAACAGCAAAGGATTTTAATTTCCCTAAACACGCCTCTCTGGATGGTTAGGCGAAACATCAATGGGTGTATCTCTATGCAAAGAGGATCCTTCCCCAGTTTCCCGCTGAAGAAGTTGCAAGACTTCTCGCACTGTATCTCCAACTTTTAGATCAAAAAACTTCACAGTGTGTAACTGTTCATTAAGGACAATCGCATCCATTTGCTCCATTTCTGTCATTTTGTGATAATCTTCCCTCACAATTTTTTCCATTAACGACCGCCAACGACGGCGTTCTGCTATTACACCTGTAGAGCCAAGTGTAGAGACATCATATGAGGCAATAGGACTTTCCCCTTTTGCATAAGAAAGATAAGCCCTATATAATGGTGCATACTCTTCAAATTCTTCGGGTAACTTCACTACAGTACCCTCCTCTAAAGAACTAGAGCTGAGAAATTGAGTCTCATCATCCTTATTATTATTATTATTATTATTATTATTATTATTATCCGTCTCTCCCTCTCCATTAGGGCTATCAGAAGTTGTATGATGAACTATGCCACTTTCGTCAAATCTAACTTTTCCTTCAGGTATGCTTTTCGTCTTTGCGTTATCAAAATCATCTCCTATTAATGAAAGTTCAGGAACAGAGGCAATAAATGCTTCTTCTTCTTCAGCTATTGAAACATTACCAATTTTTTTAACTTTTTGTTCATGATTTAACTGTACTAGAGAATTTTTTTCAGCCTGTTCTTCAATAGACTGACGTACAAGTTTTGCCTCTGCGATACGATTACGCAATTCCTCATCTTCCGCCTCCAATGAATCCAAGTCAAGAGAAAGAAACATACGATAATATGTCTCACGTGCAGCATTTGTTTCACAACCATAAATAATTGCACATGCCTCCATTAAAGAAAATAGATATTGTGCATTATCATCATGTTTGACATGATTATCACTGTTTGGTATTTTTGTTTTATTCTTTTCCAACTTTGTTTGAAAGAAATTTTGAAATCTATCACAAAACTCAAGTCGCTTCTCATTAAATAAATATCGAGCACTAGTCACCTCTCGTGTTTGTGGGTCCACGTCTGTCTGCATATGCACTTGATCATCTGGAGCTCCTGCGGCCCCAATAGAAACCCCGCGGCGTTCGCGATTCATCACACCGGCGAGATGCTGCCGGCCGCGCCGCAGTTCCACCTCACTGTACGCCAACGCACTCACGTCGAACCCCAATCGGTCCCGGTGGCGCTTGGAGATGAACTCGCGGTGGATCATCAAATTGTGGCCAAAGTCCTCCTCGTACTCAACCGTCTGCGGGAGCGGCATGGGGCGGTAGGCGATCTGCAGCGCCTCCTGCGCACTCACGCCGCTGGCCGGTGCGGCCCCGCCACCCGTCGACGTCGGCGCCCACGTGCGCTGCGACCACTTGCGGCGGCTGCAGCAACACACACACCGCCGCATCTAAACAGAGAAAGAAAGAGAAAGAGAAAAAGAAAGAGAAAGAAAAAGAGAGATGATTATGATGGAGATTAGAGGAGAAAGGGATGTGCAAAGGGATAGAAAGAGAAAGAGGGGGTAGGGAGGAGATGTGTATATGTTATCAAAGAAAATTGTGAATACAACAAGAACAAAACAAAATTAAAATAAAAAAGAGAAAAAAGAATAATTATAATTGAAGGTGCACAGCACACGTGGTTAAGATACAAAACAACGTTGTGCAGGCACCTTCTTTCTACACATTACTCATACACTCTTCAAAGGGAGAGTAGCAAAGCACCATTAAAAACGAAAAGAAAAAAAAAAACAGTAGTAATCTTTTTCTATTGAACCAACCAACACCTCAAATATTTGGGATAAGATTCAGTTAAAGAAAAGAAATTTTGGTCTCCTTAATACAGTATATGGGCCCCTTTGGCGATGTTGAAGAGAAAATATTCAAACATCAAAAGATATTAACATATTCAAACCAAAAAAAAAGTAGAAAAAATAACAAATAACAAATAAAAACACATATATACATATGTGTGTTGGTATCATATTTAAAAAAAAAAAAGGGGGAATAGAGATTCATTTTTTTTTTTTCGTTTTTCTTTTTTTTTTCTCTACCACCAAGGTATTGTGCGTCTACCCATACATGTCAACCTTGTTATGTGTGTTTGGGTGTTTGTGTGTATGTAGTCTGTATACAAAACATGACCACATTAATACATTTTATAAAACAAATAAAGATGCTTATTTTTTCTTTGGCTTCGTATGCAGAGCAAGTTCCATATCGGGATAACCTGCTTTAGCACGATACTTGTAAAAGAGTTCTTTGAGTGAAGCAAAGTATGCATCAGCTAGTGCAGATACATCTTCTGGATTATTTACATCCGCACCCGTTGGAATTTGTAGAGGTGATCCCACAACCAGTGTGAGTGGTGTAGGATGTGGGAGTGGGAATAACCACCGTCCAAATGGAAGCATAGGAAATGGAAAACCAAGAAACTTTAGTGCTATCCGTTGAATACGGGGAAATTTCGTAACATCTAATACATTCTGTTCAGCAAAGCACAGCATTGGTACTAATGGGACTCTTTCTTTTATGGAGAGTTTAATAAAACCCTGATGATAGGCAACGAGTGACATTAAAGTATTACTGCGTTTTGTAAGCACCAACTCCGCCTGACCACCAGTCACAATAAGTGAACTGTTTCCTCTAGAAAGATTAGAGAGAATCGCCGTACGGGTTACAGCAAGAACTCCAAGAGAAAGATTAAACTCACGCATTAGTGGGATATTAAAGATAACAGTTGCGACATGTGTAGCAAGATACGTATTCGTATTCCACCCAATTGAACGTCTCCATTTTTCAGTGAAATAGCAAAAGAGTGCCGTACCTGGAAAAACACCATGAGGATGAAAAGAGAATATATACTGATTACTACTATCACGCAGGTCTACAGTTTCATCATCACGAAAAACACGAAAATTAAAATATCTCTCAGCATCACTAAACAGATATTTCCTTACCCAATTTGTAAACGCTAAATTTCGCCGCGATCCAGTTTCCTCAGGATTACCCTCATAAAAAGGAAGATACCATAACCAAAAGGATAATTGTAAAACATCTATCAAATAACAAATAAGTGTGGTCATTGCAAAACGTATTGTATTATTCTCAACTACACGAAGATACTCAACATAGGTTACATATCCAAGGACAGCATAGACAGAAAAACGCAACACCATACGAACTTGTTTGAAACTTCCTAATACTGCTAATGTAGGAGTTATGAATGCAGTAAAGTATGCTCCTACAGAATAAAATGGTAATAATACGAGTGGTGAAAATAATATAATACCACAAATTAATGGCATTGAATAAAGTGCAAAGGTCACAATACAACATCTTATGTTAACAATTTGCGTTCCCAAACCAACATGTAATGCTTGTGGAATAAATGAAATTATAGAAGCAAGAACGCCACTTAATAATATCACTGGGAACCAAAACTGTAAGATACGAAATAATCCCTGCTTCTCACTATGGGCAATATAATACCAAAGAAAACCAAGAGCCATAGGTGTACTCATACCAAGTAGTAACATCATAACTTCGGACACCTGTACAAATATCTGAGCTATAACTGACTTATGTCGTTCCCATTGACTCTCATCCTCGTTGTTTAGATCCCTTTGTGGTGATTTTGCCACTCGACCCCATCGTTTGGTAGAGCGACGAAGTGTTATCAACAAACATGGCACCGCTGAAACTAAACTGAAAGCAATAATAAAAAATGGAACCTTTAGTCGTTTTGATGGTACTCCAGTATAATAGTCCCCACCAGCGGTTGATAATTCATCATTTTCTGCAAAAAACATTCTCTGTACATGTATATACAAATGCGCAAAAAGAAAAGCTCCCAAAAACACCAACATTGCCACAACACCTTCTCCATTCTCTTCTAGATAAGTTTTTCTTCGTCGTCGTGCATCAAATTTGGGAATAGATGCAAGAATGAGCAATTGACTAAAAACAGAAAACAAAGCAGCCGTAGGTAGTAAAAAATGACCCCTTTCATTTTCCAAAGTGTGCATAAGTGTAAGAATAAATGTAAAGGCATAACATGACCAACCAGCAATTTGTAATGTTACAAAAACGGTTCCACCTTTAAAAGGCATAAAGAAAGTATATTCTCCATTAGTACCATGCATTAATACTCCATACACGGTTTGCACACTAACACATGATATTGTGCAAATTCCCAATCCAGAGACAGAAAAAACAAGACCTATTAATGGAACAGTAGTATCCCAAAGTGCGGCAACAATATAACCAACTCCAGAAGCAATACAAAACATTAATACAAGTAAACTTGCAGCTCCATGTTGGGGTTTTGATAAATTTGCGAGAACTGATAAATTATCATCATCATCTTCTTCATATTCTGAAAAATGTATTTCTCTTTCTTCTTTTTCTTTTCCTTCTGACATTTTTTCTCTTGAATTTAGTTCCGCTATTGTTTCCTTAGAGGTTAAATCTTTATTTCCAAGTTGAAAATTTTTTTTATTACACCGTATACCCTGTGGAGAGAGACTTGCAGAAGCGAGGGTTCGTAAAGCAAACTGTAGTGCTACCTGTTCCCTTAAATCACGATGAGAAAAATTTTCTTCCAGAGTTGCCCTAAGAAGATTTAATGATTCCATCACTTTATCATGTCGACGTTGTCGTAAAGCCGCTAGAGGAGCTTCTACAGCAACGGAAAGTGCGATTAACACAAGTGGTGCCATTTGCAGTAATCCCTCTAATGTATACCCCATAAAAGGATGGTGATTTTGTAGAAAAAAAGGCGGATTGGTATTATTCATAGAAAAAAAGATAATCCCAATCGATTGAAGTGCAAAAAGAGTATATGTAGCCCATCCCAGTGCTTGTAAAGCAATATATGTACCACTTCCCTGAAAAGGATGAAATAAAGGAATACCTTCCTCTTTACCAGAAAAATGGGCCATAGGTACACTAACCAAGAAACCAAGTGATGAAAAACTCAATAACACATTTTTATTCAAGGGATGAGATTTAATCATCTGTATTTGAGAAATGTCAATCACAACTCGAAGAATAATGGAAACCAATTGTATGATTAAACTAAGTATTAAGGCTCCATTAAAGATATTTTTCTTTTTATTATACCCATAAACATCTTCTTTCTTTTGATTATCTAGTAATGTTTCACCTACTATAGTGCAACCAACTGCAAAAGCTTCAATAGATAATTGAATAAATAAGTGTCCCATCACACCTGTGGTTGTTGCAAAAAGAGCCCAACGAAAATTTTTGGCAGTCATATGCATAGTAAGAGATAGTATAGAAGCACTAAAAAATGCCCATCCAAAAGCTTGTAATACAACAAACTTTTTGCATCCACAAAAGGGTTGAAAAAAACCAAAACTTTCGCCATAAATCATACGACCAGTTAATTGTGTTGCAAGTGTTAAAAGAAGAAGAAGAATCAAAGAAATTGTTTGAGAAAGAAGCACACCGTCAATCCAAACTTTTCCTTTTTCAGTCTGATCATAATAAGCTCTATATTTCCTTATATAATGTATACTTCCCAATACAATACATGCCATTAAAACAGTTCCTGCTGAAAGAAAACAACGACCATATCTCGCTACAACGGATGATAAAGGTTGTTTCTTTTCTTCTGAATGTGATGTACGTGCCAAAGCTAGCATTGAAGAGACTCCAAAAAATGAAGAAAGTGCTGTCATACCGAAAGCGAATGGTGGAACTATATTACCTATCCGTATAAGAACGATTCCACCTGAAAATCCAGATAAATATATTACTAGGGAGAAAAAAAAGTACAGTGTTTCTGAGAAACTTCTGAAAATCTTGTGACCTGCCCTTTGTTCCCATGATAAAACCAAATAAATGAGAATGGCATTCATTAAATGAAATACAGTAAATATAATCATAATTGGTCCTGAAGCATCTTGAAACATTGCCCCAAAGTAACACAGTATAATCTGGGAAAGAAGGAAAATAACAACTAATCCAGACTCAGAATTTGGACTTTGAAGCATTGAATTAAGGAGAGAGGACTTACAACGTTTTCCTTGTGCAATTTCCTCAAAAACACGACTCGCTCTTCTTCTTGCTTCCGCTGGTGAAAAAAAACGAAGTGATAGGCCTAATAAAACATTACCTAATGATGAAAATATCTGCAGAATAGTAAGTGCCCCATATCTATACCCAGGTGGGTGTAACATAAGAAGATAAACCAGCATAAGAGTTGAGCAACTCGCAACAAGTGTCCATCCACAACTTTGAAGAATAACATACTTCTCTCCTCCAGCAAAAGGTTGGTATATACTGTAACCATTCCACAAATTGAAGCCCAATGGAATGGATAAAAATGCACAAAGTCCATTAAGGCCAACTGCAAGATGGGTTACCGGTATAAGAGGAAAAGCAGGTGCACCATCTTGAAAAACATCGGCCAGAACACCAAACATGAGAGAAAGAATTAATCCTAATACCCAGATTATACACAATGAAAGGGTTGAAAACCGTGGAACAGTGTAAATATCACTACCTGAAGAATCAAATGAATCCTCATTCTTCGTAATATGATCACATGATAAGTGGCTAATAAGATCGGAATCGTGGTCTTCAGACATGAAAAGGATAATATTTAATAAACAGCAACGCTGATCAAAATACTACTACTATAACAATAAAGAAAAAAAAAAAAGAAAAATACTTGGTAATAACCTTTAGAATAGTCTAAAACGGAGGAAAGAAAAAAGAGAAAAGGAAAAAAAAAATAAAAATAATAAAAATAAGAGGAGATAGTCGCATCATTTTTTCTAGTATTCCAAGAATAAATTACCTGTTATTGTCGTTTTTTTTTTTTTTTTTTTACTTTTTATTTTTTTACTTTTCGTATCACTAATACAGAAGAAAGAAAGAAAGAAAGAAGGAAAAAAAAAAAAAAAACGTAATACGCGCTTCTTGAGTAATCACTTTATTTGACTCCTCGACAAAGAAAGTGCTTAAAACGCACTATACCAAAAATAAAAATAAACATCAAATATGGCAATAATAATAATAATAATAATAATAATACTAAATTTCTATTCTGTTTAATCTTTTATTTGTTTCTGTTTGTTCCACACTGCCTCCTGTTTTAACATCATTAACAGTGTTTTGTTTTTCTTGATCGGCATGATAGCCTTCTTGTATTTCTTTTGTTTCTTCACTACGCAATATCTCTCTTTTGGTTGGATTCACTCCTACTAGTGGTTTCTCTGTTGGTTTGGTGAGGTACTGCACTTCCTCATGATTGTGAAGGACGAGGGACATATTTGGATATCCGGCGATGGCGCGGTATTTAAAGAAGATACGCTCCAACTCGGCAAAATAGCGCTGTTGGAATCTCGCGACGTCCTCGGGGTTCTCCGCGTCCACCGCGCCGTCCTCCGGGTAGACTGGGCGGCCAATGACGAGAGTGAGCGGGCGGTTGGTGGGCAGCGGGAGATACCAGCGACCGTACGGGATTGTTGGAAACGGGAATCCCACGCGCCGCACGGCGTAGCGCTGCAGCCGCGGCAGCCGAATATTCCCGAGCACATTATGTTCGGCGAAACACAACAGCGGGACGAGTGGGACGTTGTGGCGCAACGCAATCCGCACAAACCCGCTGTGATGAGTGACGAGGTGCATTTCCGTGTCGCTCATCCGCGAGAGCACCATCTCCGCCTGGCCGCCCGTCACGATGATGGGGCTGTTGCCGGCCTGCAGACTGTTCTCAATGCCCCGCCGCGAGACGCCCATTCCTCCAACCGCAAGTGCAAAGTCCCGCATGAGTGGAACGGAAAAAATGACATCCGCGCCGTGTGTGGTGACGTACGTCTTTGGATTCCAACCGACTGTGGTGTCCCACTGCCGCGTGATGGGGGCCCACATCGCCGTGCCGGGAAAAATACCGTGGGGGTGGAAGGAGAAGAGATACTGATGAGTGGGATCATTCATATCCACATGTCTGAAGCCAACCTTGTTTTTATCATTGTTGTTATTGTCGTTTTCGTCACCGTCGTCCTTGTCTGCAATCACGCGGAGATCAAAGTATTCAGCCACCCCTGAAAACACCCAGCGGTATAAAAAATCGCGTGCGGTGGCATTGCGTAAACGACCAGTAAGGTGAGGTCTTCCGACAAAGCGATTGAAATAAAATAACCAAAATGAAGTAGCAAAAGTATCTGCAATGAATTTCCATAAAGAAAAAGGTGATGTCCCACTTAAAAGGCAAGCATAAATGTGGTAGTGAAGAAAGTAGCCAAGTGCACAAACATTAGTTAAGGTTGAAATAAGATGTACATGTGGAAGGGTAGAAATACATGACATAACAACCATAGTTGAAGCAAAAGTCCAGGCTCCCATTGTGTCAAATATAAGAGGAAGACTTAATGAACCAACCACCACCATTGTAGGAATAGAATAAATAACAAAAGAACAAAAAGCAGCGTAAAGACGACGTTGTAGTGTTTTTTGTTTTCTACGTGCTTCAGATGGTGCAAACATTGGAACCAAAACAGCGATGGCGAATCCAAATAAAAGAAGTTGAAGTGAAGTAGATGCGGCTTTAATAGCTGCAAAACCACTATATGCATAACCGTAAGCGATGTAACCAAAAGCAAAGGGTACAAGTGCCGTTACTAAAATAGCAAAAAATACAGCTATTGAAAGACATGATAAATATACCCTTTCACGAATATGACCGTTATAACCTCGTCTTACGGTTTGTCCCAACTCATTTGAAAAAAAGGATGAAGTTTGTGGTGAACCCATACTACTCACTTCACTACTGTAGTCACTTGTCTGACGTTGAAGTAATGTAGCTCCAAGAGATGGAGATGGCAATGGAGAGAGATATTCTGATGGTATTGGGGAACGTCCTGTTTGTGCTAGTGATGGTTCTGTGCTGTCCACATCCGCATCGCTGTCATCCAAGTTAACCGAGTTATCCAATATAGAGAAAGGTGAAAAATTGTACATATTTGCATTACGTTTAAGTGAAACAAGTCCTAGTGGAACTGCAAAACATGTAGAAACTGCTGTTAGTGTAATAGGTAGTAAAGAAGAAGCACCACCCGATATACGACCTTGTACATGCAAATCACACACGGATGCAAAACCAAAAGAAGCTATAAGTGCAAGAACAGCAACAATACCTTCTGCGTTCCGTTCCAACACAGATGTGGGTCGTGGAGTAGGATCAAATCGTGGGATAGAATTTAGAATACAATACTGAGCACTAACACTAAAAACACATGCAGCTGTATACATAACCGCAGATCCTCGCCCTTCAACACAGCAAACAGCTATTAACAGAGATGAAGCAGTATAGAAACCCCATCCAATAGCCTGTAAAGTCACAAAGGTTGATCCACCTGAAAAAGGCATAAAAAAAGAATAACGCCCAGAAGCACGATGTAAGAAAGTACCATAAACGTAATGAACAGAGAAACAAGAAATAGTAGTTACAGTTACACCAGCAAGACCAAATACCAAAGTAAAAACAGGTTGACGTTCTGTTAAAAAAGCTCCAGATGCAAATGCCAATATTCCTGCTAATGCTAAAATAGTTACTATATGTGTAGCAGCTTCTTGTCTTGTTTGTGCTGTTTCTTCATCTTCATGAATAAGACGTACTCCATCATTTGCTGGTGGATCCATCCATCGTGGACCTGCAATAGCTTTTAAAAGTGATTCCGCATGGCGTAAATCTTCTTCATCTGGAATAGCTCGTTGAAGTACTCTATACAACTCCAATACTTCTTGACGTGAACGTTCTTGAAAACTTTTTTTACAATTTTGTTCCTGCGTTTCAAAGAAAGCTCCCATAATAATGCAAATAAGAGGTATGGTGGCAAATAATCCTTCCATAGTATACTCTAGGAAAACGTATTGATCTTCCATTATAGGTAATAATAAACCTTTACGTTTACCAAGAAAACTATTAGCCAATGCAACTAAAATATTTACAGCATAAACAGACCATCCAATAGATTGCATAGCTACATATCCTCCACAACCAACAAAAGGTTGCCATATGGAAATTCGTTCTCTCATTGAAATATGTGCAATTGGTACCACCAAAAAGAAAAGAAAAGTAGATACTTTTAAAAGTGAATCTGTAGGAATATAAATAATTTCTTCAAATTCATTTCCACTTACAACTGCTACATCTGTTATAACACGTAAAAGTAAACCAATTGTACAAAGAAGAATAGCTGTTAACATCTCTCCATTTAGTACAGATGTAACAAGTGAACGTCCTTCTTCTCGTAGTGAATCTTCCTCCTCATCATATCCAGTAGGATGAGCAATTTCTTCACTACATATAGATCCACTACGTGAAGATACACTCCATTGTTTACCATCACCTTTATGTCCCTCATAAAATAAATGTAATGATGCATGAATAAATCCTTGCGAAAGTGCAGTAAGTGAAGATTGAATAATAATAAAACGAAAATGAAGACTTTCTGTAATTTGTAAAGTTGCAAAAAATATAGCTGTTCCGAAACATGTCCATCCTGCACTTTGAAGAACTACAAACTCTAATGGACCTTTAAAAGGCATCCAAACTCCATATTTTTTTCCAAAAGCGATTCGTCCAAGTAGATGTGTACAAGGTGGAAGTGTAAATGTTAATAATGAAGAAAGTGTTTGACACATAATAAGTCCTTGTCGAAGACGTGGTTCCAAATCATAACGTTCAGATGAAAGTAAAAGTGCTAATCCCCAAACTACTCCAGCATGAATAATACTAGCAACGGTAAGTACAAGAGGACCGTATTCTGCTAAAATAGATAATTCATTCTGTGTAGAAGTAGGGAAACGATGTAATCTCACAAAAATAAGAAGTGTACTCATACTAATAACAGAACATAAACCACAAAGTATATGCCATGATGATGAAGAACTGGCACCTGCTTCATATAATACCATATCTAATTGCAAACTCGCACATGCAAGAAACCATCCAAAGGCTTGCATAATACTCATCTTCAGTCCACCAGCATTAGGCATAAAGAGTCTATAACCAGGTGTATACCAGTATCCTATTCCTACATGAATCGTTATCATACCAAGAATTAGAAAAAAGGCTCCAACAATAGAGCTTATACGTCTCATACCTGGATAATACTCTGCAAATGAAGAACTTGTAAGTATAGCTATACAAAATAATACAACTATACCAATTTCAGCATTAGGTGGAGCAGAAAGATCACGCCACCAAACAGATGCATCACTTTTTGATTCTTCTGATACTAATCGTTCATTATTTTTTCGTTTATGCCGTTTAGTTACAAAGAATAAGAGAGAAACCATTAGTGTAATATCTGCTATCGCACTAAAACAGCCCAATACGGTAAGTGTTCCGTAACGAAATACAGGTGAAGCGGAATCAAGATATTCCACATATACAAAAAGTAAAACACTAGATATCACTAGTATACCATATCCAAATCCTTGCATAACGACAAAGGCTTGACCTCCAAGGAAAGGTTGATACATACGAAAGTTTCGAAGTGTTAATCGTCCCATTATGGATGTAAGGAAAGCACAAAGTGTATTTAATCCAATGCTTGTAATTATAGTAGGGACCAAGGGGAATACAGGTGCTTGACTCTGAAATACATCAGCTAATATATTAAGCATCAATGCCCCCTCACAAGCAATAGCCCATAATACCATAAGTGTAATACTCATTGGATTTCGCATTAAAACTGCTGTTCGACGTGTGGATAATTTATCCGCACGAGTTTTTTTATGCGCATGGTGTCGATCGTTCCCTGGATTTACATTTGTTTGTTGCGCTTCTGGTTTTGTTGCCGTCTGCATCTCTACTTGTTGTTCTTGTTGTTGTTGTTGTTTTTGTTTTTGTTGTTTTTTTTTTTTTTTTTTGGAAAATGAAAATATTATAATAAAATCTGTCCTTCTCTTAGAAATAAAAAAAAAGGAATTATGCAGCTAAGGAGATAAGAAAGATAATAAAGAGAGAATAGAGTTAATAATAATTAAAAAAAAAAAAAAACATACCACCAAAGGATCATAACTTGACAACAGAAATAGAATGACCTTCTTGATATATATATATATATATATATATATATATATATATTTCTTATATAACTTCAACAACAATAACAGTCAATAAAGAAACACCGTTGAGAATTTCTCACTGAACAAACTCCTTCAATAAATAATAATAATAATAATAAACGCCCACCACCATTTTCTACTCACCTCAACAAAACCAAATAACACTGTGAGTAGTTAAAAAGAAGAAGAAGAATAAAAAGAAGACTTTACTCCACTTCAAGACCTTTCGCATGTGCCTCTCTTCGCAATTGTTCCTCAAAGGTTTGAATATCCTGCATGCATGCATCGATGGCCTCTAACAATGCCTCCTTCGGTGTTGGAATAGGTCGACCAGATCCATCTGAAGAGGTTTGCACTCGCAACTCCACACGATGTTGTGTTGGGTGAGGCACACGATAACCGGCAATGTGCACAAGCGGATTTTCGTGTAATTTCATACGCAGAATGTTTGCTAAGGTGTGGTCCTCCTTATCCAATTTAAACAAAGATGAGTTGGGCATTTTACTTGACACCTCTTCCGTTATCTTGCGGGTTCCCTTTGTATCGACAAGACTATCCGCCGTGATGTCATTATTGTAAATCAGCATACCATGTGGGGCCGACATTTTCTTTTTTTTTTTCTTTCTTCTTGTTGTTATTATTAAACGAAAATAAGGAGATAAAATTTCAGAGAAAAGAAAAACCTGTTCCTATTCTTCTTCCAATATAATTGGTTCTCTGTTTATGTGTATATATAAATATTTATATATACGTCTTCTTTTTCTTTTTAATTTATACCCCCTCTCGTTACCAAAACGTCTTGTTTGGGTGTTTTAGTCTCTTTCTGTTTTCCCTTGTTTCTTTTCTTTTTCTTTCTTCCCTTGAGTAATCAAAGGTGAAGAGAAAGTATGATTACGCTACTCCAGATAAGATAGAAAAAAAAAGGAAGAAAAAGCATCAAATAAATAAATAAATAAATAAATAAAAAGCATTGCAGAGGAAATCCACAAGAAGCACAGATTGTATTTCCGTTTGTATATACATTCAGGCATTCCACACTACAAGAAAGAAATAATAACAACTAAAATTAAATGAAAAAGACATCAAAAAAAAAAACTTTCAGAAAATACGATAGTATCAAAAGGAAATAAAAAAAAAAACCAAATAAACAAATAAATAAAAACGTTACATCATAACTTCTTTTTTCTTTTTTTATTCTTTCAAACTCTTCATAACCATTTGGTACTCTTTTTTTTTTTTTTAATCATTTCTCACTTAATTCAGCCAGGAGTTTCCATAGAAAAACTCCGCCCATCCCTCGTATTTATAGAAAAATTACTTTCGTCATTGGATTCTTGTGTATACAAGTGTTCTCTTAATTCCGCAAAACATAAAAAATGTGTCTTGTTGCCATTCACTGGATCCTGCACAGAAAGTGACCATGATGGAACCGGCAATCCACAAATAAGACACTTTGGTTGTTGCCAGTTCATTAGTAGAAACCGTCTCTCTGCGGTGGCAGATGCCTCAATGGAAATTCTATCCATCATCTCATTTACTTCAATTTGTCGAAGTGTGGATGATATAATAGCAACAGGAGATGATGGAATTAAAGAAGAATTTTTTTCTTCTGTAGAATTTAATGTACTGTTTTCATTCTTCACATCATTCTGTTGTGGTGTCGTTTGCGGGGATTCCATAAGGTGACTCTGTTGAGAGAGTCTCATCATCTCTGATGAGGATAAACGACGTTCTACTTCTTCCTCAATCTGTGCTTCAATCTCTGCACGAATATTCTTCAGACTCATGTGTAATTCTTGCATATAGTGTGTCTCCATATCATGTACACTTTCATGATATTTATCACTTAACTCCGTTTCAGTTTTCTTCTTCCATAAGGATTCTCGCAATTCACACAGTTCCTCTCCTAAACTCTCTGGATTCACAAATGCCTCTTCCATTAGCAAACGTCTAGAAGGTAAAGGATCTGGTGAGAAATTACATCGCTCTTCAGAAGGATTCATTACTTTCTGTTTTGTTGAATCCACTTTCATTACAGTTCCTGTTACTCTTTTATTTGAACTCCCCGGAGATACCGAAAGACGCGAAAACACTTTACCCTGAATAGACGGTTTCTCATGTTTAGATCTTGTAGATATTGGTGTACCTGTCTTTGAATGAAGATATTTTGATTCTCGTGGTAGACTTGAAGACAATTTTCCCTCTACCATTCTCCCACCATAGTAATTCAAAGATATCTCTTTCTTCTGTTCTATCATCATCATCATCTTTATCTTCATCATAGTTGTTGTTCTTCTTATTGTCTCTCCTGTTATTTGTTGTGAATACGGTTGCCCATTATCTGGTTCGCAAGGAATGACTGTACAACGATACAATAGTGAAGGATGTGAATTCTCTGCACTTACATCTCTTCGCACCACCCATCCAAGTGCCAAATCGCCATTGCCGGGTAAATATCCCGTTAATGCCTCTATGGACTCACACTCCCATCCATCCATTGGCACAAAGTAAAAAGTAGATGAGTTCATCTCCTTTACATCCCTCTCTTTACTATTGCTAAGAAGTGTAGATGTTCCCACAGTTTTATTTGATAATTCACCATTATACAGAATCTGGTAGAAAAGAGAATATGGTATTTTGCTCTTACTTACTACACTAATAAGATAGGCCGCACCATCCGCAATTTCATCTGTATAAAGTACAACTTGTGGAACTTCCAATCCTTCACTAGAACCTCTTTTTGTACCTTTTAAAGAAGAAGCATCCGCAGAAGAGAGAATAATAGTTTCTGTTCGCCGACTAACGATAAAATCATTCACTCGTAGATTAGAAAAACTCGCAGGCCAAGTATCTGCAAATGTAGTGGAAGAGAAATTAGGTACTGATTCTGAAGAGGATGAAAACAACTTTCCATTCCTTCTAAATTTACTTGCTGGAATCATATTACCCTCTTCATTCTCTAAAAAGATATGTGTAATATACTTCAATTGCGTAAATAAGAGTGTTCGTGAGGAAAGTCCACTATCCTTATCGGGACCCACAACTCCAATATTTCGTATTCGATACGGTGTGATGGTAAGTTCAGCTATCATCTCTTCTACAGACACCGCACCGACAAAAGGATAAAAAACACAATATCTTGAACACTGTGTAAAGTCCACACGTACTTTCATACGCCGTGGAGCCATACTATAAACAACTACAGCATACCAACCTTTAAACTGCGGTACAAAGGAAATGGCACACACATCGTCAATAATAACAGGATCACCAGCAATCTTTTCTGGAAAAGTCATTCTATATCAAATCGCTAAAAATAAACGTAATAGCAAAACCAAGAAGAAATAATAATTAAAGATTAAAAAA